CTTTTTTATAATTGAATATGTCAAAAGTTGACATATGATATGTCCTTCAATTCATGAGTGTCGTTCTATTCATACGTCGTCATTCTATGAGTGTCATTTTCTATGGAATAAAGTAAAAAAATACCGAGGGAGCCCTTTTCATTTCCGGTGAAACAGGAAATCACCGAAAAGAATTGAATACGTCAATCAATCCTAATTTATGTCGTATACTAACGTACCAAGTCTAGTTTTTTTATCTGAAAAAATAAAGAAGTTATAGGGGTGAGCCACTTTAGAGACGCACCCGGTATACTAATAATAGTTATTTTAAGTAGATTTATATTTAATAATAGAAAATCAAATATATTAAAAACTATCAAAAACGTCCAGATGATTTCTAAATATATTAAAATAAAAAAAAATATAAAATATGCTGGAAGAAACAGTATTAGTTAGATACGCTGGTGACGTCGCCGTCGTCTATATCAGAGATATAGAGACCCAAATCAAATTAAGCAGTCTGATGCTTAGTATTAATAACTAGATAATTACTATCGTGGTGATGGACTATCCTGGCTTTTATGACAACGGGAACTGTGTTTCTTACAAAATTCAGAATAATCACAGTGCTCCCATTCCAAGCAGGGGAAGAGATAGTTACATCAAAGCCAGCAGTAAAATAGCTTGGCATCAGCATAGACAGTAAATTGACCTTCTGGGAACAGGTAAAAATGACCGCAGACCAGGCCCTTAAAGGTGTCACAGCACTGTGATGGACACAGTGGATCCAAGTCAAGTAAACGGCGATTATTGATGGTCGACTATCCAACTGGCCCTTCCATATGGTGCTGAGATTTGGGCAGTAACTCCCTCAAAGAAAAAGTACAGAAAACGTTTGGCCCAAGTGCATAGACAGGCAGCACTCAGAGTATTCATCTTACTGTACAATTTCCAAACCTGCAGTGCTAGTTATCGCAGAGAAAGCACTGGTTGCAGGAATGCATGGAAAAACAACTATCCCTTCATAACATCGTGCAAAAAATACATCACAGCCAAGAAAACTGGAATCGCATATCAAGGTATGTGGAAAAAATACTGAGGGAAGAAAAAAGCGACCTAGACAACAGTTGATACTCTATAAACAAAAGCGATCCCGCGGGTAATAAAAAACGGACTTAGTGTCGAAGTAATGTGTTAAACGATCCCGAACTAGAGTCCAAGACGTAACAAGGGTTGGTGTTTGTAAAACTTGAAAAATAAGTTCGTTATAATGATGCTTTTATTATTCACTCCACTAATAAAGAATATGCATTCCTTCGGAAACTCTCTATTTATTTATCTAGTAATGCTAAAATACTCTATTTGAAAGTCGATTAGAGAAAATAGTATGACTCATTGGCAAGCGATGTAAATATTTGTGATCAGGTAAAATTGTGATATAAGAGGAGGCTTAGCTTACCGGCGAGTCAGTAGTAGACGGGCCGGCCGGCTGTAGTGTTGTGTTTTGTCAGAGAGCTGACATTTGGAAGTAGCGAGTCGTTTGACTATGGAAGCAGAGGGTCTTTTGACTATGGAAGTAGAAAACCTCTTGTGACGTCGTTCCTTCGAAGATGGTCTTGAGAGTTTGAGGTCTCCTTTGCTTCTCGATTGACACGCTGGGACGTTGGGGAGTGAGGTACCCCAATTAGCCTCATCAATTGGGATACGAATCTGTGTAGCAGCAGATTTGCATCCGGGGGAAGCCCCTATACTTATTTCAGGTGGCACTAGCTAGTTATTGAAGATAAAGATAAAGAAGAAGAAAGAAGAAAAGAATTAAATATAAAGAAGAAGTTAAGATATTAACCAATAGATCCGAATAATATTTGAATTAGATGGATGATATGGAATGGGATATATTGAATAGAATATCAGTGGCTAGGGGGCGGAGTACCCCCAGGTGAGTTTTACTACTTAACTATCAATTTTATCCAGATCAGTAAATGTTTATTTTGTTATTTACATGTACAACGAGAGTCTTGCCAATGACCAACTCAATGGGTATTTGAGGTGAATTTGCGTTGTTAGACCTGGTTGAGTAAGCCCCAGAAATAAGCGATTTTACATGTTTTAGTCGATATTTATTAAGAGAGACACTTTGTGCGTAAATTGCATTTTACCTCCTTGTCCAAAAATACATATTAAAATATATTTAATATGTGAATAGAATCAAAATTAACATGAAAAAGTCAAAACTACCATAACATTATGGTATTTTGACTTTGGTTCTTCTCATACTTAATTTTTCTCAAAAACCACTTTGTGAAAAGGGCCAAAATAACTTAAAATATTATTTTCTAAATTAATTTTTTTGTAATATGTGTAGTAATTAGCATAATCAAAACAGCAAAAACAGTAAAAAAGCCAATAAATTAATGTTTGAAAACAAAGGCATCACTAACGTGAACGACTCATAATGTTTATCTTAAAAGCGAAGACCAAAATAAGCTTGCCTGATATCATGTGCAGGGGAGCTGACTGCGTGGGTGCTCGAGTGCTCCAGCAACCAAGAACGGAAAACCATGGGTGTGGAGCACCCACGAATATATGCCTCAAAACTAATTAGTTTGGCAACTTTAAGTGACACTTACCTCATCCATTGCAAGTCAAGACGTCGGTCAAAAACTGTAGAGAGTGTTTTGATACATGATGTGCATCATGTATCAAAGGACTGTAAATTTCAATAATTTCCGGTTTAAGTAAATTTCCTCGTCCAGTCTTAGGTAATTAAGGGATCCCTCTTTTTCAACTTTTATTAATAATAACATTTGGTCCATTTACCTCTATTAACATTTTTTTTTCTGTTTTTTCTTTATTGCACATGGCGAGCAAAATGTAAGACAAAACTGTCTCAGGAGGCCATTTTAACTTAAAAAAATGTGCTAAATGAGTGCGTCAGTCTGTTCATTGTAGATAAAACTGTACTAAAAAATGCATGTGTGCGTGACAGGCTGTAGTACAGGTTAAACTGCACAAACTGACCTGCACAGTTCGCTTTTGTTAAATAACCTGAGCGTCTGTGGTGTCTCTACAACCGGTAACCTGTATAGGGAATGTCATGAATCGTCATTTCCAAGCCAACTGGACGCCGCCTTTTTTTCGACCATACGGTGGTCAATATTTAAATGAAAACAAATCCAGTGTGAATCATTCTGATGCAAATCCATTTAATAACAATAATTCTTTGAAAAAACTATGTGTCTATCCAGTATATTAAATATTAACATTAATTTTTAGCAAATCTTAATCTTTTTTTAAGTGATATCCAACGTCACTTGGGGCCTATATTTCTGTTATACGATAACAATAATGTCAATACCAAAATCAAAAAAAACAATAACAATATAGAAGGGCACTTTAAAAACATGAATCACTGTATAATAGTATTTAATAATTTTTAATTTTATAAGTGTTATCCAATTTATTTATCTGATATCATTATTCCTAAAACAATATATATACAAAATTGTTTGAACAAATGCTAGTATGTTCAGAGTACTTTGTCTGTAAACTACCTAAAAAACATTGAATAAAAATGCAGAAATATTTAATCTGGTTATTAATATTTGTGCCATTGGCTGCAACAATTAAAATAACAGACTTTAAGAATTCAACTAAATATCACTTATCGACTATAGAAGTAAGTAACAAATTATTACAATCACTAAAATCGAACTAATTCTAAATATTCCTTTAGGCAACGTTTCCACAAGCTCTGTTTACCTGTAAATTGTATGGATGGACTCTTGCTACAGAGAAAACAGCACAAGACACTGCAAATTTAGAATCATTTTTAACACAATCCGGACAAACTTCTGAGAGTAATTCATGTAAAAGTGCAAAGTGATGAAGGATACTTACATTCTTATTTTTAGGTATATGGTTAGGTGGTGTTTACCAGGTGATCAATGAATTGGCCGCTAAATGGATATGGATAGAATCAGGATTAGAGTTAAGTTATACCAACTGGCAAAGTGGCGAACCCGCTTTTTCTAACTCAACTACATATAGTACATGTTTTAAAAAGAATGCTTTAAGCGGTACATATTCCGGACAATGGTATGCTAATACATGCGAAACTACATCATACTATTTTGTTTGTGAAGATTATTAATATATTATAAATATATAACAATATTTTTTATAACATCGTCATTCCATTTCTATTGTTTCATTTAGTCCCGAAATATTTATTTTTAATAGATTTATATTTAATAATAGAAAATAAAATATATTATTAAAAACCATGAAAAACATCCAGTTGATATGTAAATATATCAAAATATATTTAATTTTTGATTTTATCGGGATTTAGATTCAGGAAAAATGCTAATTAGTTGTTTATTTGGTTTAATTATATCTATTTTATAATGTTAGCCGAAACGTTTGTTTTTTTAAAACCAAATAAAGATACTTAGACCAAATGAAAACATAATCAGCGTTTTTCCTTAACCTAAATCACAAGAAAATCAAACTTAGAATATTTAGAAACAAGGTTCAAGAACTTGTAGAATGTAATCAAAACTAACACGTCCAAAAAATCATCAAAAACGTCCAGTTGATTTGTAAATATCTCAAAATATCTAATTTTTGATTTTCTTGGGATTTAGATTCAGGAAAAATGCTGATTAGTTGTTTATTTGGTTTAAGCATATCTATTTTACAATGTTAACCGAAACGTTTGTTTATTAAAACCAAATAAAGATACTTAAACCAAGTTAAAACCTAATCAGCGTTTTTCCTTAACCTAAATCCCTAGAAAATCAAATTTAAAACATTTAGAAACAAGGTTCAAAAACTTATAGAATGGAATCAAAACTAACACGTCCAAAAAATCATCAAAAACGTTCAGTTGATTTGTAAATATCTCAAAATATATTTCATTTTTCATTTTCTTGGGATTTAGAATCAGGAAAATGCTGATTAGTTGTTTATTTGGTTTATCTATTTTATAATGTTAGCCGAAATGTTTGTTTTTTAAAACCAAATAAAGATACTTAAACCAAATGAAAACCTAATCAGCGTTTTTCTTTAAGCTAAATCCCAAGAAAATCAAACTTAGAATATTTAGAAACAAGGTTCAAAAACTTATAGAATGGAATCAAAATTAACACAAATTAACATGAAAAAGCCAAAACCACCATAATATTATGTATGAAAAACAAAATAGAAATATTTTAACTTTGTTTCTTCCCAAATTTAATTTTTCTCAAAAAACACTTTGTGAGAATGGCCAAAATAACTTAAAATGTGATTTTTAAAATTATTGTAAAATATGAAGTAATTAGCATAATTAAAACAGCAAAAACGCAAATGCAATATCTATTTGAAGAGAAAGATTAAGTAAATTTCTCTAAGGACTCATTAAGTGCGAGATCCGATTGCCGGCCGTCGGACGCTGGTGTGATTTCCTAGCCACGTCCGGTGTCCACTAGCGATGTCAATCCCGGGATCTCGGAAGAAAATTTGCCTCGAAAAATCCCGAGATTTGATTATATAAATTCCGATTTTTCATGCCATAGAGTAAATTGCTTAATTTCGGAACTAAAGTAATTTACGTAAAATCCGACAACGGAGCGACCTGAAAACAGAGCAAGGTTATTCAACCGATCGATAAACGGGCCTCGAGTTTCGGGGAACTACCTAATGTGGCGTAATTTTGTCATCTTCAGTGTGCTTTTGCTACGTTGTACGTTTTAATTTTCGATACATTTTACAATAATTATATACATAGTTTTCTAAGCAACTGAAGTTAGGGGTTGTTTGTTGTTGTGAAAATGGACCCTAAAGGCTCAGAGGCAGATAAAGACAAAGGTAGGTAATACAAGATATTAATTTTAATTTTAATTCTGAAGTAAAAATGTAAATTTTTCTTTTATGTCTTTCCTGATTGGCCTGAAAAAGACCCTGATTGACTTAAACATTTCACTACTTTTGGATTCAGAATGGCAAACTATCAGAGACATTGTAAAAGTTCTCCAGCCAATAAACTTAACAGTCGAAGCATTATGTCGCTGCGACATTAATTTATGTAAAGCAGATTCTGCATTAAAATTTATGTTGGAAGAGCTATCCAAAATTAAAACACAACTCAGCACAGATCTGCAGGACTCATTAAGAAAACGGATCAAGCAACGTAGAACTATTTATTCTGACATTCTCAGCTACCTTACAAATCCCGACTTTATAAACTCTGAACCAGATGATTGTTTCAAAACATCAAATATTTCCCTAATTAAATCAGAGATAGAAAAACTTTTAATCAGACTAGAGCCCGACAATTCATCAGATACTTCTAGAAGAGGAACCAGCAACGACATCGAAGAGGATGAGCTTCTCATTGCCGAACTTCTGAGAAGAGAAGATAATGAACCTTTAAAGGTTAAACTGCAGAAAGCATTACAACAATCTTCAAAGCCGATAAAAACCAAAAGAAGTAATAAGACGCTATTGTCCGACATTATTACCCAAGAAATTGAATTATTTTCAAATGGTGGTAGTCGGAGACGTAATCTCCAGAAAGCTTTTGAATTTGTATCAACCATTCAGGCCACCAGCGTGGAATCTGAAAGATGTTTTCCTTCGCCAGGGATCTTGTGTAATAAGATACGTTCAAGACTGGGGGACGCATTAATATTTTTGCGCTATTTTTTTAAAAATTTGTGGCTATAATTTGTTTGCTAAAATTTGTTTGGTGTTCATATGATTTTTTTAAAGTGTTTTTTTTAATTTTCGTGTTTTGTTATATTAATATTAGATTTTTTTTATGATATTAGGTACTTAATTGATAATTTTAAATCAGGGATTTAATCCCGGGATTCCGGGATTTGTCGTTCAAGTTGTAACACTCAAATTTCCTCGCTACGACCTCTGTGTGCTAGCTCATAGCTCATGAATTATCGCAAATAACTATTATTTTTGCATCTTGTTTACTATAATTTTATCGTTAAATATTATTTTATTTAGTATTTTACGATTATGTAACCGAATATACACCGCGATATACAGCTACACAACATTGTCACTGGATGCCGCCACCAGCAGTATGATTTTTGTCCGTCACTTGTCACTGTCAGATCAAATCAGATGTTTTTGGATTTATTTATCCTTTGTTTTGGTTATTGAAATTTTATAATTATCAGATAAAATTTCGTAGTTAAATCGTTAATTTTGGTGTAGATCGCAGTGTACAATTCGTTCATTTAATTGTTGGAATTTCTGAGTTAAGTTCGTTCATTGATAGAGTGATAGAACATCGTTTTTTATTTACGCCTTTTTGTGAATTGGACTAGTCGAGATATATAGTTCTCTATCTATATCCTGGAGGGAGATTTCCGGTTGAAATCTGGTTTTGTAAAGGAAGTCCAATAATTGTGCGACTTCTTGTGTATCTACCGTCCGAATGTCGTCGTGGCTGCCGTTTCGTGAAGCAATTTCCCTGTTGGTGAGAAGCAGGACCCTCTAGAAAGGATAAAGCTTTCCGGAACACATCTAGTCAGAGACGTGGTTGTATTTGTGGGATTTACATGGACCACCGACCAAATTTCCATCAAGGGATTAAATAGCCGAATTTTGTAACCTTGATTGTAATTACTATTAAGTTAGATAAGGGGGTTTGACGTCATAGGTCTAGTTTCAGTTATTTCATTTGATTTAAATTCTATTTTTTTTTCTTACTATTCAATTTGCTTTTCTTAACATATTTCATTTTACATTTCATTCGTTTCTTTTCTTTATATATTAACTTTTTAATATTTTAATAAATTGCTTAAATATTTTTTGTAGTATTATTTACAGTCTAGTATCATAGTTAAGTTAGAGTCACTTAAGTTCCAATAGTTATAGCATATTTGAAGTTCATGGTAGTTGCACTCAACAGTTCGAGGTTAGTGTTGAACTCTACTTAATAGTTACATCTTTTATGTAGAGTTCATAGAGTATAATCTCGTGGCGCCCTTTTATTAAGATCTTTGAATCCCGACCACCCGGCTGTTAAAATTAAAAACTAGTGGCCTCTATGTAACTCATCCCGATTAAGAAAACTTGTGTTTTATTGAACTTCTAATTGGAAAAAGGACGCGGCAAAGTCTCGAAAATCCAGGGATTTTGAAAACCTTCCGGGATTGACATTCATAGTGTCCACGTATCGCCGTGGCGGCCAACCTTGAATGCCATGTTTAATGTATTTAAATGCAATCGATTTTCTCAAATACGTTTAAATAAATATACCAGGGGAAGCGGTACCCTCCTGTCCCTATATTGAAGGATGGCTATAGAATTTCAATGCATTCCACATAAGTCTATACTTGTGTTGTAGGGAGTTTTCTGCGCTTCCTCGAGCTGTGAGCACTTCGATTGGATGACAGTTTCAAATCATATGTTTTATTTTATTTGACATTTAGGTAAAAGACGTCCAAATATCTGAACAAAAATTGGAAGCTTTCTGAAATTAGTTAAGTTTAATAACACCATATTAACATTATGCGTATATTTATCAAGTGAGGGATTCAAATCGTATCCGACGCGTTCTATGCTAAACTCTTTCTGAACTTGTGTTGCAAGATCTACCCTAGTTTCGACCATACTTCAATACGGCTATGTAAATATAAAAATTTGTAACAGAAGAGAATTTGTAACAGAAGAGGACATTGTAAACTTGGAGCTTCTCAGAAAATGGGGGATGGATCTAAACAATCTCAATTTAAACAATAATGAAGATAATGATTTTATTATTTTTTATTATTGTGGTCGTAATAATTATAGATGTTCATAATTGTTGTTATTCAACTTTTTTTTAAGCAATTTACTTTTTTAATCTATGCAATATTCTATTTATTAAAATAATAACGTTAAGACCCGTACCATCCAAATTTTTACCATTTTTTTTTCAAATAAAAACTATATTTTTGTTATTTCAAAGGCTATTATTATACTATTATTTATTTATTATAATAAAATATATAGTAAATATGACCTATAAATATTTTTAAACCATGTTGAAAAAATTTAGCCAGGTATTTGAGTTAAACACTCCTCTGTGAGTCGCGCTTCATACGTATATTCGAGAAAATATCACAAAAATTTAGTTTCTGCAGATGACGAATTACTAATAAATCATGTACGGGAATTTTCGTCTCTTTATGATCTATCTCATAAAGAT